ATACGGCGTTGTGATTGGCTGATGCGAAATCATTTTGACCAATAAGATATCGTATCCGGATAAAACGAGCTCGAAAAATGCCACCAACCTGACATCCCGCTTGACGCCAAGCTTGTTGAGCTGGCGCAATGGGGAAGAAGACCAGAGTAACCGAAGTCTGTGGCGAATGTGGCAAGACCAAGCACACCGTGTCCACGCATACTGGCCATGGCGGTCGAAATGAGTTTGACGTTGATTAGTCATCATGGGTACAGTGGTACACCTCCTTGGAGCCCAAAAAGCACTTTTTTCACTTGGGCGGGTTGTCGCCCCCCTGGCGGCAACCAGTGGCTGATAGCGGCTTGTGTTGTCAAGGACGCATGCCTGTGAAGGCGACACCGACAACACTGGAGCTTCCGACGTATAATCATCAGAGGAATACGAATACGGTACAGCACACAACCCAACGCGGTATCATTATGCGGAAAGGGATCACACGAGACATCAGCATTCTTGTGGTGCCACGGCAGGACGCCCGGCCACCCCTGTATCTGTTACAATAGCCGAGGACAAATTTCGGGGGTCCTAAGGGATTGTGGACGACCCCGCGGGTCAAAATGGGCCTCAGGTGGGGGGTCGGGGGCCAAAAAGCCGAACCCGCTGGTTTCGGGCGACCCCCCGGGGTGACCGGCGTCCTGCTGGACTGCGTGTGTACTAGTACACTCATGTTGGAGGACAATACAGTAGTGTAGATATCCTTCTCCCAGGAATCTCCTATTGACGATCATGCATTTTAACAAGTACAATATCACTTGGATTTATCAAATAGGGATGTATGGGGGGCGGGGGGCGGCCGACCTGGTCGGTCTACCAGTGGGTTCCGGGCGACCTGACCGGGCGTCCTGCTGCGGCATCAATGACGCACTCGGCATGTCCCTGGCACCACCCTTGCTCCTCGAGGCGGTTCTAAATTGGTTCTATTTTGTTAAAACGGTGGTTTATGGCGGGCTTTCGTTCAGCGTGTGTATCCAGTCGATGCCGTGACGAGCAGCCTCGTCGTCGGTGTCCTCGGCGTCGGACGTTGGCTGCGCCAAGAGCGTCAGCATGTCAAACTCAATGTCCATCGCGTCAACGGCACTGGTCGACGAGGGCGTTTCTTCGTTCACGAACGACGCAACGGTCGCAGTGGTATGCCGACGGCAGTAGCCCGAGTACTTGGCGAGGTACTCGCACTCGTTGACTTTGCACTTTCGGCCGCCACCGTGTCGCACGCAGCGTTGGCGGGCGTGGGCTTGCTTGGCGCAGCCAGGCTCAATGCAATAGCGCCGTGTGATCCGACCACCGTGCTTGAAGCAGAAGGCACCGCCGCGCGCGTAGGTGGAGCAGCCTTCGACACGGCACTGCTTCTTCCCGCCATGGCGCACGCAGAGCGCGCGGGCGTACACTTGGTTGAGACAACCGTCGCGCGAGCAGCGACGCACGGTGCTGGAGCGAGCTGGCGTGTCCATGAAGTGGCAACTTGACATGTGGTGGGCAACGCACTTGAGATGCACGGTGGCAGGTTTCGACACGGCCACCACGCGCAAGAGATGCGGTAGGTGCAATCACTAATCACACTTGTGCACTTGTCTTCGTTGTAGAAAGCTGCATTACAAGGATCACTTGTCGGCTCGATGGATCTTTCGGTGGCGACGAAGCGGTCGGCGGTTGAAGTTACTAGCCGGCCTCGTCGCCACGCCGATAACGCGTATACGCGACGTCTGAAACGAGTGGCAATGAGCGAGTAGCCTGGATTTCTTGTCGTGCCGACAGGTTGTGAACGCTCAACACGACAACATCACCGTCTGCACTCAAGCTCAAGCGCCAAGGGGTATTGTAGCAACCCGTGGCCATCGCCACCGGCTCCACTAACAACACGCAGTTTTCGAGCTGCCCTTTGGCCGGCGCCATTTTGATGGACACTATAGTGAATATGTAGTCGCTGCATGGACGCCTGTTGCTGTGTGGGTGCAGCGCAGGGTCGACCCAAAATGGCGTGTTTCTAGCCGCAAAATCCGCTACGATTCACTTGCCAGCAAAATGACTTGCTTTCAGTATCGAACCGAACCCAACATGTGCATTTGATGTTTAAAACACTTTGCTGTTGTTCATTTTTGCCGACGACGCCATGGCACCGTCGCCCTTCCTCCTTCGTCACGTCTTGGCCTCGAACGGTGTGCTCACGGCGCCGCTGCCCAACGGCGCTGGCTCCGAGACGTTGCCAACGCGCGTCTTGCTCGCTCAAGCGGCAGCGATTGCAGCCCACTTGCCGTCGACGCCAACGTCCGTGGCCTTTCTCGCGCACCGAACGCTCGACTTTGTACGTTGCCAGTGGGCGATTTGGCTCAAGAACCACATTGCCGTGCCGATCTCGCCGCATAGCATTGCGCGCGAGCGCGAGCACATATTGAAAGACTCGTGTACGACGCACGTCCTCTTGCGCGACGCCGACGTGGCCGACATGACGGCCACGGTCGTCGTGCGCCTCGACAGCATCGACCTGAACGCGTGGCACGGCGACTTGGACGCGCTCGTGGACAAGGAGGTCGATCGCGACGCGATGCTTCTCTACACGAGCGGCACGACCGGCGCCCCGAAAGGCGTGCTCACGACGCATGCGACCTTGCATGCGCAGGTGTCGGACTTGATGGCGTCGTGGGCGCTGTCGCCGACCGATCGCGTGCTGCACTTTCTGCCGCTGCACCATATCCACGGCATCATGAACAACCTCCTCGCGCCGCTTTGCGCCGGCGCGACGGTCGAGTGCCTCGTGAGCGCGTCGACCAGCGTCATTTGGGCCACGTTGGCCCGGCATGAGCAGCCCGTGACGATCCTCATGGCCGTGCCAAGCGTGTACATGCTTCTTCTCGAGGCATTTGACAAGTTGCCTGAGCCCAAAGAGGCATTTGTCGCTGGCGCCAAGCAGCTTCGGCTTGCGATTTCCGGGAGTATGGCGTGCCCGGTCTCGATTCTGTCGCGCTGGACCGCGCTGACAAACCAGAGTCTCTTGGAGCGGTATATACGGTTTTATGTGCATAACTTGTACACTATTGTCAACGACTAGGTACGGCATGACCGAGTGCGGCATGGCGCTCGGCAACCCGATCGCGGGCCCTCGCCACGTTGGCTATGTGGGCCAGCCATTTCCTAGCGTCCAAGCCCGTATTGGCGAAGTACGTTTCGATGCGTGTACGCCCAAGACGACGAACGTATGGTGCGTAGGCCGGTGCCCTCGAAGTCCGCGGCCCGACGCTCTTCAAGGTACACGTACGTGGCATGGCGTCGTGCTGCAGCTTCCATCGTAGGCCTACTGGAACCGACCGGGGGATACAAAGAAGGCGTGGACGGAAGACGGTTGGTTTCAAACCGGTGACGTGGCCGAGTACAGTGAAGAGCTCCAGAGCTACCGCATTCTGGGCCGCGCCAGCGTCGACATCATCAAGGTATGTCGGTGGCCACTTGGAAGCGCAACTCCATGGAGTGTCGTAGAGCGCCGGGTACAAGCTCTCCGCGCTCGAGATCGAACGCGTCCTGCTCGAGCACCCGCAAGTCCGCGAGTGTGCGGTCTACGGCGTCGACGACGAAACGTGGGGTCAGATCGTCACGGCGATCGTTCGCTCCGACGCTGGCATTCACAGTACGTCATGGCCTCCTGTATACGCCATATATCAAATCGACGTTGTAGGCGTCGACGAGCTCTCGCCACCTTTCCCAGCGTTTTTGAAAGCGAATTTGGCCAAGTACAAAATTCCGCGCAAAATTCACATGGTCACGGCGATCCCGAAAAACGCCATGGGCAAAATCAACAAGAAGCTGCTGCCGTCGCTCTTTGATCTCTCGCCCTCTGCGTACGCTCATACCGTGCACTTTTCTGTGAGCCATGATCCACAGCTTCTTGTAGGCTCGCCTGAGCGCCCAGAGCAATTCACTCCGCACTCCAGATGGGCGCAACGTCGAGCAAGCGGCCTTCGCATCGTGCTCTCGCTGTCTCGTAGATCATTCGACTCGCCAATAGCTCTCGCCAATGCATTTTTCTTCCGAATGCTGAGTATTGGTGCGCGGATGACGAGAAGGAACGGCCACACGACGCAAACTGGCTGGCGAGTGCTGAAAGGCGAAGACTTTGCTGCTACAGGGCTGCAGCCAGAATACCTGCATGGCCTTCTGTGCCTAGCACCAGAATGTAGAAAACAGCATCGATACGAGAATGGATCTCACCCGTCCTGCACGGGCCATCACCAGCGATTGCACCACCACGGACAAAACCAAATTCCTCAACCTTCAACCCCTAAACCCTGTTGATACGACGATACGACGGCGGGAGCTACCCATGCCAAAACCCATGCTACACATGGGCGGCCCTTGGGAGACTCAAGAGCCTTTCGTGCGTCGAGAGCCGCTGCCACACTCGTTGCACGCTGCGTCGAGGTTGAAGAGGAGGGCTGTCGCAAAGCACGGTCGTCGCCACCGGGTTCTCAGGTTGACCTGCACAAAAACAACCGGGTGGCGCATCACCTGCGAGCGCCCATGCCATTCATCGAAGGTACTTTTGTGACGGACGTACGAGGTTCATACCATCGCACTAGACGTCAACGCGCACGCCCAAGCGCTTCAACACGGTATGACGCGGGACCTTAATGCACGCCATGTCGTCGAGGATACAACTGGCATGGGCGACCCCCACGACGTTGTCCGGTGGAACCAGCACGCGATGCAGCGGCGCCTTAGCACCGCGTCGTCGGTCCCGTCGCTCAACTGGTGCAGCACCAACAACCCAACGGGCCGCAGTGTGTGCGCCGAGGCCAAGAGCCAGCGCCAGTGCGGGTCGTGCTGGGCGTTTGCTGCCACCGACGTGATCGAGACGGCCGTGTCGCTTGCGACCGGGAACCCGCCAGTGTCGCTCTCGTCGCAGCAGCTCCGGACGTGCAGCACTTCCAAGGCCATTCGCACATTTGAATACTGCTTTGCCAACGCTGGCAACGTACCGAAGTGGCTCGAGCCATCCATGAAGTGGGATGGGCACAACAAAGGCTGCGACGGCGGCATGACACACGTGGCACTGGACGACGCGGCCAAAAAAATTGTGAACCTTGCGTCCGCCTCGACTGGCCGTATGTCGACGACAGTGTTCCGAGCACGAACGCAACCAGTGGCGCCGTGGCGCCGCGTGCGTTGACTGCCAACGCCACGCAGTACAACACATGCAGCGCAGCACGTCTCGACGAGCTCGCTGAACAGCACACATCACGGGCTGGGAACCCGCGCTGACGGCAGCGTCGTGCGCGACGACGAAGGATCCAGCGACGCTGCTCAAAACCGCACTCGCCAAGGGACCTTTGGCCGTGGCTGTGAGCACCGAAGGCGGATTCCAAGACTACTCGCTCGGTGTGTATACGTGTCCGCCGATCGTGTCGTCGGACAAGATCAACCACGCGCTATTGCTCGTCGGCTACGACACAAGCGATCAAGGCGACTATTGGATTCTCAAAAACTCGTACGGCGTCGGGTGGGGCCTCCACGGCTTCATGCATCTTCACGTGGACGACGTCGTCAACTGTGGCCTCAACGTCTTTCCAGTCCGAGCGCTCGGCGCGTCGCGCGGTCCCGCGTCCACAACCACGGTCGACGGCGCGCTCACGTTTGGCGGCATGGCCATGGATATGTGGATCGTCGTCGCCAGCCTCGTGACGGCCGCGACACTACTGCTTACGATCATCGGCGTGTTTGTGTCGCGGCGGCGTATGCAGTACTTGCGACAAAGTGCATAAATGAACTGTGCAAAATCTGGTTTGAAACCACAAGGGTCTTGGTTGCAGCCTTGGTGGTGCAGTGCTGTGGGCTACCTGTTGAGGAGACACTCCTCGTCGAGCCGATGCATGTAGCATCCGACCCGGCGCTGCGTACGAGGCCATCAACTCAACCGACTCGACGCGGGGATGCGGGGATGCGGCGATGCGTTCGGCAAATACGGTCGTGCCACGTTGCGCGTCAAAGATCGCATCCGGATAATATCTATGTACCCGGTTTTGCACACGTGTCGTTTTATTGAATTGCATTCGAGTACCTTGCATCTTGTATGTACTTTTATTCATTCGAGAATGCAACCTCTATGCTTTGATGTGAAAGCCTCTCAAACTCGATATGCAAATGGGCGACGTGTTCCAATCTGTGGCCATCTTATTGCGACGACAGCGGTGAGCGCTCCATCGGTCGGCTACGCCCATGCTCATGGCGCTGTCTAGGTAGACGATGGCATCCAAGGCTAAGGCTTCCCCCGCGCCCTCGGGCAACGTCAATGGCATCCTCTCCGACCTCCTCTCGCAGTACAGCAAGAACACGCCCCGCAAGATGAAGCTCATCGACGGCTTTCTCGCGTACGTGCTTGCCACGGGCGTGCTGCAGTTCGTCTACTGCATGCTCGTGGGCACCTTCCCGTTCAACTCGTTCTTGTCCGGCTTCATCTCGACCGTCGGCGTCTTTGTGCTCACGGTCTCGCTGCGCATGCAGATCAACCCGACCAACGCCGATGCGTTCTCGTCGGCGCCGCGGACGCCCGAGCGCGCGTTCGCCGACTACCTGTTTTGCAATTTCATCTTGTTCCTTGTCGTCATGAACTTCATGGGCTAGCCGCGACGACGAAGACGGCGACGACTAGGAGGTGATGAGGTTGCTGATGATGAATGCAATCGCCTTGTGTTTCGTGGACTCTCTTTGTTTCATGTGCACTTCAAGCATGACCAGACGCTTGCTATGGGCAGTGCTCTGGACGAAGCTGTGTGGCTCGACGGCCCCGACGTGCAAGCCGCCAAGCGCATCAATCTCGGGGCTGCCAGCGGAGAAAGTGCATGGCACCAATGACGCCACGACCACAACGCATGCTCTCGTACATGGCGGCTAGAAGGAGGGTACTAATGGCTGCGCCTGCGAAGACCTGCAATCGTCTTGAGCGTCTTGAGGCTACCTAGGTCGTTGGCCACAGCTGAGCTCGGTCGATCGCGACGCCGACGACTTGGCCAAGATTGGTGCCACATCATGCGACAAGAGCACATTCTCAGAGGCAAAATTATGCTGTTGGACATGCAACCAAGCGAGGGATCAAGACCGGAGCTCCACCGACGTCTTCATCATGTCCAGCAGCGTAGCTGGCAGCGCAGGACCTCGACGCCTGCCAAAACCTGCAGCATTTAATACTTGCCAGTGGGCACACATCAGGACGGCGCTTGTGCTTGCGGCCGCTTCTTGCGGCACGTGGATGCCGCCACTTTTACCATTGGCTTTATGGGTCTATATAGTACCAGGTACTAGTACTAGGTACTGCTTTTGCTGCAGACAACCGACGTTGGCGACCATCGTGTCCACCGCGTGTCGCAGAAACCTGCCAAATTTGATATACCCATTCAGCAGCGTGTCATTGCACTTTCCCAGTGCACAACTCGGCTGCACAATGGCCGCCGGTGACGATCTCACGCTTGTGCTACCGATAGCTCTAGGCGCGGCGCTGGTGATCCTTCTGGTCATAGCCTATTGCCACTGCAAGAGAAAGAAGCAGCAGACGCCCGCCGACGTTGAAGCCGAGCAAGAGCTCATGCGCAACGAGTACGTATCCTGCCCGCTCATCGTTGAGGACTTCACCGTACGTTGTCTTGTGTCTAGTCACCTTGGCAACCTCAATGGCCTCAAGCGCGGCGACATGGAAGACCTGTACGACGATTCTCTCATACTGTTGTATCTCATGTGGCAGCGTAGTGGCGCCGAGAAGACCAAGTGGTCGTGTGGCATCTGCGGCTTTCACAACACGGACGAGAAGCAAGCGTGCACGCTCTGCGAGACGCGCCGAGGTATGTCGATGTCTTGAAGGCTTATATGCTGAGCGTGCGTGGAGGTATCGCACTGGCGTCGTCGGCCACCGTCACCGAGCGCACGAACACGATCGATGTTGTGCAGCTCAACGCGCTGCAGCACGCCGCTTGGTACAGCATCAGTCGCTTCTCGCCTCTCACGTGCTGGTGCTTCTAGGACGCGCGCCATGTGGCTGCGCACGGCGCCGTCCGAGGCAGCGCCGACCAGCGTCTGGGCACTGCATCCCGAGTTTACCGCGCTGTCGACGACTGCCACTACGTACTACACGTACACGCTCGTCCCACTTCGGGACCCGTCGGTCGACACCACGGCCAGCGACTCGGACGCTGCAACGCCATCGCCAACGACACCTGTCGCGCTCGAGCTCGTGTGTGTGACACCCTCGACGACGCCCGCCACGGTCACGGTCACGGGCGAGACGATCCCAGACTGGTATGCGGTCCAAGTGGCGCAACTCCGGTCCTTGCCCTTCTCGCTCAAGTACGCGTGGATGCTCGAGCAGATGGCGGCGTCGTACGACTCTCGCAGCGGGTTTACGGTCGCACGCGATAAGCTCCTCGACCAGTCGCTCGCCTTCTTGATGCAGCTGCCACCGACCGAGCTCTGCAGCACGACGCGCGTCACGATGGCCGGCGAAGACGCGCTCGATGCCGGCGGCGTCCAGCGCGAGTGGTACACGGTGCTTGCGCAGGCCATCATGGACGAGTCAGCCAAGCTCTTTGTGGTCACCAACACGCAGGACAACGTGTACATGCTGCACCCGGGCGCAACGTCGCCAGACGATTTGGCCAAGATCGAGGCGGTGGGCCGCCTTCTCGGCAAAGCCATCATCGACGGCCAAGTGCTGCCGATGCGGCTGTGCGTCCCGCTCTTCAAGGCGCTGCTGGGGTCGCCTGT